TGACATGCCCATACCATTTTAGTTTTCGTCTTTTCACTGTGGTCAGTAGATCTTCATATTGTCCCACTGCGTTGGTGATTCTCTTTCGTACTTCGGCATTTGAAACGTGGTCTTTGTACGAGATGTCAAGGAGTCTGCGGTAACATCTCATCTCTGTGATCTGAATCTTTTATTAAAGCAAGCTATATCATCATTTTATTCTTCCTTTAGATGTTAAGAATCTTTTCTGTCGGACCTCTTGATGCTTAATAAAAGAAAGTTATATCATAATAATATTCTTCCTTTAATAAGAAATGGCCTTTCCTTCAGGAAAGAGAGAGAGCGAGAGAGAGAGAGAGAGAGAGAGAGAGAGAGAGAGAGAGAGAGAGAGAGAGAGAGAGAGTTTTAGTAAGAATTTTACGGCACTTGCAACGCATAAGGTCATATAAGTGCCGAAGAATAGATTATGTGTTACAAGAGAGTAACATACATTAAAAGAAGGAGGGGAGATCAGGACGACAGATGTTTTATAGGAAAGAATGAGCAAACCACACCAGAGCACCCGCCAACCACCCACAGAGAGAGAGAGAGAGAGTGATAGATAGATCAATAGATAGATAGATAGATAGATAGATAGAGAAAGAGAGAGAGAGAGAGAGAGGGAGAGAGAGAAGGAAGAAAGAGGGAGGAGGTTGGGAGAGGGAACAACAAAGAAGGGCAACCAAACTTACCTATTGAAATAAGATAGTGACAACAGCAACAATAAGGATCATAACAGAGATAGCAAGAAAGCAACATCAAAACAACAACAACAAAACAACAACAGCAACAGCAACAACAACAATAATACAAATAATAATGAAAATTTAGATAATAATTATGGAGTGTGAGGTGTCCCCTTCCCCCTCTTCCCAGCCCAAGAATCCAAGAGATAAAGTTCGCCCCGGCTTCAACCGTAGACTTAAGAGTGTTTACTCCGATTTATTGCGCTTTAAAACATTCACACAGAAAACAGATTGCTACCCGTGAAACTACCATCTATATCAACAACAACAACAACAACAACAACACACTCAACAGACAAATACATCTTAGGACAACCCTCTATATTACCGTACGGGTCACCCTGCACAGACCAATCACGATCTGCTCCATTAACGATGTCCCACCAGATTACCCTATCAAAATAACCCATCTTAATGACTTAAAGCTCCAACTCTCAAACCCATAAACGATAAACCCACAAACAATAAAGATAAAAATTATTAAAGGTTTCTTCAAAATAACACTTCTCTGTTAAATAGCAAATCCCCCACCTCCAGAGAAAGATCAACATTCTGCCCGTCATTCCCTAACCTCACCTTGTATACACCTGATCTTGTCCCAGATCTGGGGCGGTCTGTTCTCGATGACCGTAGGTACAATTTCCCTCCACTTCTTAAAAACCATAGCCTTCATAACGACCTGGTCCTGGGACGCTTTCATTTTTTTTATGCACACTGAAACGGGATCACCATTTAATTCTCTCATATTTTTTAACCATACTTTCTTCCTCTATTACAATAAATTTCACCAAACGCTTTTAGAAACATATCTCAAATAAACACCAAAAAAACATCTCCGAAACCCCTGACGAACAAGGTCTCGTTCTCTGGGGAATTGGTGGTGACGTAGAGAAAAATAAGGCAGTATATCGGAGAGCCGTCGACAGCAACACCGCAGAAAACAAAAATAATTACTTAACAGCTCGAGCTGAAACACTTAGCTGCCCCAGGCAAAAAGCAATCTATCCGAAAATACTTACAAAATTAACAGTCAGACACCACAGTATTCAAATTAATGATTTTGGGTTAGACGCACAGATACTAACCAGCATGTAGAGAGGCCGGATGGCACCAAAACAGAAACACAGATAGGCATCGCAAACACAATAGTTACATCTCTTTCAAAACATTCATCTAAAACCAACTACAACACCACTTTTCCAAATATCAAAACCAACAGAGAACAGCAACACCTAAAGTTCAAATCAAATAACACAGAAACCTGAAACGAAGGCTTCACACTAGACGAACTAACATCATGCATCTCAGACTTGGGCAATACAGCCCCGGGTCCGTACGATATACTCAATTAGATCGTTAGACACTTATCCACAGAAACACTCACATTTCTTCTCAACATAAATACATATTATTAGACAATGACGTGTGGCAGTCGCACACCTTTGTGGAGCCCAAGCGACTTGCCACTGTCATTCCAATTCCAAAACGAAAGACCACACACACACCCATCCACATACAGACTAATTGCATTAATAGACTATCTATGCAAACTAATAGCAAAAAGGATCAACAGGTGACTCATGTAGTTTCTGGAGATGACGGGCTTGCTGAGCGGAAACATTATTCGTATCGGGGATTTTAACATAGCTTTGAATGAACCGTATATAACTGGAGGTGGTAATACTTGTCAGTATCTTCAGATTTTTCTCAGAACCTTGAATATTTCACAAACGGCTTTTTCAATGATTTTTTTTTTTACTTGATGCAGTGTTCAAAGTTGTAACAACGAAAAATCAGTGAAAGTCCACACTCCAGACACCACCAACAAAAATCTATTCTATATATTGACAACTCGACAGATTTTATAGTGTTACGAGTGCATTGTCTCTTAGTTGTGAGGAATTATTAGATGAACAATGGCGGAGTTATTTTAAAAAAGTGTACAGGAAGTTTGGAGGAAACGGACAATAAAGAAAAAAGGACTCCATGGGGTTTTGTTTGTTTGTTTTTGTAAAGTGTTTTACGGCGCTCGCAACTGCATAAGGTCATATGAGCGGCGGGACACACCTAATATTTTCAGTTGGTAGGAAATTTTAAATTTTGCCCGGGTGGCGGCCGATTTTAGATCACCAAGGGATCTTTAACGTGCGCAACTTGCACACGAGCCCTCCGAGATTTTTCGCCCTTGTCCGAGAAGGCTAGGTGTAGATCTTTCCTACCAGAAGATCAGGGGTGTGGCAGAAAGACAGCAGTAAGGAGGAGCCAAGGAGTAACAGTAGAAAGGCTGCAGAAAGAGTCAGGAGCCCAGAGGAGGGGGCAAAGGAGGTGAGGGGGTGGGGGCAGAAAACTTCATGGGGATTGTGGTGGTGACTAACATACCTGATAAGTGACAAAATGAGGCTTTAGTGGGTTTTTGTGATGAAATAGTTGTAAGAGAGGCTGAAGAAGCCAAACATGCCTACATCTCAAAATCAATAATTTTGACCCAAATAAGAAATTTCAGCTGTTAAAAATGTTCAAAATTGAAAGATCTGTTCTCATTTGTTGATCCCAACAGAATTATCAATTTTTAAAGGCCATTGGCCTTTACATAAAATGTAAAGATTATAATTTCAATAGACTTTAAATTGTTGTTTTTAAGTAAAACTGATATTTCTATTGTACGGTTGCGAACTATTTTGAATGCAATCATCTTTTGTTTCGTATGACCTTAAGCAGGTGTCAGCTCTGTCTTACTAAACTAAACTAATATTTGACGAACCACAGAAAATATCATTTACCATCGACACTGGCATCGCAGTGAACAAGTGTTGTAATCTCTTGTAAGTTCGTGACTTTTCTCAAATAATGACTAGTAAAAGAACCCACTCACCCTGATTTAGCAAAATTACTCCAGAACGTCATTATGTTCCTGGCTGTAGACCATTCTGCTTTCTGTACAGCCTGTGTGATGTTAAATGCTTCAGACATAGATTGAGGGAAACCGAAAACGTATGGCAAGTCGTCCCCGTGAGAAGCGTGTTGAACCCAATGCGGCCGGGATAGGTACGGGTATTTCCGATCAAACTGCCACATATACATTTTTCTCTCAGAATGTACAGAAACCGTTGCGATATTTGATAGTGTCTGTAGAGCAGGTATAAAAAACTCAAAGTCAGTGGTCATATCTAAAACTGCATGCACCACAGCATCTGGGACAGAAGCCAAAGACATATTCTTTGATACGTAAACATTTCGAAACAGATCTTCAAGTTTAGGTAACGGGTTATACACTCCGTAAATGTCTTGTAATATTTTAGTGACATAATATTTAGAAACCTCTTCGTAAGTCAAGTTAGGATCGTCCAGATTTAATCCCGTTTTACCAGACAAATACAATTGAGCAGTTGTCTTTACAATCACTTCACCGTCATCGTAGTTGGATCCAATCATCACATCAACGTCTCCCAGCAGGGTGTCGTTCAAGATGAAGTTGTGCACATTGCGCCCTGCCGAATCCAGATTTGCTGAAGAAAGTTTAAAAAGAGACAGTACGTCACGTTTGATGAAATGCCCGTCCAGAGAAGGCACCCAGTCAGCTCGGAATAAAGTTTCTTCTAATGAACTGACTAAACTGTTCTTGATAATTGACGTCATTGGGCGACTTCGGAGACATTTCAAAATCTTTTTATGTCCCTCGACACTAAACCCAGGATATCTGTCAGCAGAACAGCCAAGACGGTTGGCCAGCCTCATGGAAAACGTTCTCGCACTTGTCATACTGTTGTCATTGAAGGCCCAGGGACAGGCGAATGTTCCACTGGATGCAATGACTCGGCGGATCTTGCCCTTATTTTGAGGGTTTAGTAACTGAAATGTGGAACTTGCCCCACCAGCAGACTCTCCAAAAAGTGTAATATTGTTTCGGTCGCCTCCAAAGTCAGCGATGTTTTCATACACCCATGCAATCGCTGCCTGCTGATCCCATAATCCAGCGTTCCCGGGAAGCACGCCGTCTCCCGTGCTAAGAAAGCCAAAAGCACCGACTCGGTAGTTGGCGGTGACAACAATGACGTCACCAAACGCCGCTAGGCGCTCTGCGTTGTAAATACGACTCTGGCCTATGAGGTAGGCCCCTCCGTAGAGCCACAACATCACTGCTTTTGACGCGTGCGAGTGAGTACTGGCATTTCCCGGCACGTACACGTTCAGCTTTAAGCAGTCTTCACTCATATCAGATGGTCCAGGCACCCAGTTTTTCAGGATGTTCGGGTCCTGAGGGCACGCCAAGCTCTCTGTGTCAGCCAGAAGATAGTTGTCCAGTTTTAATTTCTTAACCGGTCTAGCGAAACGACGGCCACCTGTAGGAGGCTCAGCATATGGTATACCTGTAAAGGATAATGGGAATGTGAACGGCTCATTTTTTATATATAGATAGAACAAGCTGGTCGTGGTAGTTTAGAGATCTCAGAACTTGGATACGTGTTTGTGTGTGTGCGCGTGTGTGTGTGTGTGTGTGTGTGTGTGTGTGTGTATATGTGTGTGTGTGTGTATGTGTGTATGTGTGTGTGTGTG